CCTCCTCCTCCCTCTCTATTGTGTTATTATTGATCGGATTTATTCTGTCTTCAGTTTTCGTTCTTTGTCATAACTGAACCTCCTTCGAGTTGCATGTTGTAATAGTCTGTTTGTGTGTGCACGAATCTTCAGAGCAGGTTCTGCTTCTCTTCAGTTCATTTTTACAGTGTTGTCTGCCAGGAACATCTTACCCACAACCCTCAGGAGAAAGTCAGTTTGCTATAAACCCCTATGGCATTAAGGTTGAAGAAAATAAATAAGAATAGTATAATAATATATCAAATATTCCACATTTAAAGGTTTAAAAAAATCAACTTTCTCTCACAAATAGCGTTGCTCCAAATAGCGCAGAAAAAAATTGAATTTTCAGATGGACCAAAGCACTTCTTCGAGATGCTTAATTTTCTAAAAGAGGCTGAAATTGACTATTAAACTGAATGTTCTCGCAGTATTGGATTTGCTAAATCAAAGCTAGCAATGATAGTGGGTATGTTGACCGTGTACATACAGCCCATTGGCCCAGCCTGATGCAGTGTATTTGCTTGACATAAATTCCACATATGAAGGACGTAAAACACGCCATTTAGCAAAGTGCAGTATCTAATCATGATGTACATGAAGGAAAGATGACCATGAGCTCTCATATCACTCTTTCAGTAGCCTACAGGAATATTCTGCTCGATTTCCTCAGTAGATTAGCTTAAGAAAATAAAATGGTGCAAAAGAATTACCTTAGACACACAGAACAACTGACCGAATGAATCCCATTTGTACATAACCTTCAGGATTACTGCGCTTATCGCTCTTCATGAGTTTCTGTCCTTACTGTATTACTGGAATGCCATTTTTGGCGGGCTGTTCGTCTCATCTGAAGTGAGATGCTGATTTGATTGGTTACGGTTACGCAGATATTCACATTTGCAGAGGAATTTCCGATCAGCAGGATCATTAAACCAGCCTTTTTGAAGAAGAGTAGGACTTTTAAATATGAGTGCGCATTTACCACATATCTCTTAACTTATTTTTATTAACAAGCGATCAGTGTTTTACATTATACAAACGAAGACAAGAAGGGCACTTTTTCCTCATTTATAGTCTTATTTATTTACTCGGACCACTAAAAGCGTTTCATCACTGTCAGTGGATGTAAACTGGGCCACTTGTGCAGTTCACTGCGGCGCAGTGAGGGAAAAGGGATGGTATGTTGTCTAATTTTAATAGTTGACTAGATGAAAAAACCTTTAAATGCTGTCTGAAATTGTCCTTTAAAATAAGCATTTTTTCAGGCTCCTGTGTGTGTTCAGTAATATCACGTTTATGGCAAAGAATAAGTCCGTTTCCTGGTCTTTAAAGGACATCACAAACAAAGGAAGCTGGAAAAATGTTGATTTTCGATGGAAATTTCAGACGGCACTTAGAGGCTGAAGAACTCTTCAGTGTTTCTTTTGAAGATCTTTACCTTGTATGTTTGAACACATGCAGTTTAGATGTAAGTGCTGAAGTTAGCAGTGATCCAGTTTGATTTTCGGCAAACAACATTCCTCTGGCCAGACAACCAGCAGGAACTGATGACTGCTACAGAAGTGCTGATCACTGATATGAAGTCAATAAGCTCGCTTTAGTGCATTTTCACAGGAAACGCATGAAAACGACTCTGAATCTCTGAAAGTCCTCGGGTCAGCCAGCCTGCAGGCCTCATCGGAGCTGTTGGATTGTTAAGAAATCTGTGAAAATGTTCTGATTTGGCACATAAGGAGCATGGAGAGTTAATGAAGGTTAGCGTTTATCTAATTTTATGAGTTAATGTTACTTTTTTGGCCAGAGCAAAGGTTTTCTGATATATTTTTAACAATCTTTGTTGAGTGGCTTCACTGACTAATGTGACATTCATAATGAATTTCCATTAACTGTATTTATTGTTTTGCAATGTATATATTAGTTTGCAGCTCTTTGCACATAATATGCGTTTATACAAACTAACAACAGAACAAATAAAGCTTGAATTATGTTTTTTGTTTTCTGGAATGGAAACCAAATGGAGTGTGGTGTTTATGGAAATGGACTTTGAATGTATTTTGAGTTCCACTAAATGCATGAATTATCTGATGAGATATGACAAATATAGGGACTGACATGTTGCTGTGCTTCTTATTTCTTGAAATAGGAAATGGATGATGTTACATGGGCACTTTTTCCACATTTAGTCTAGAGTTGCGATGAGGCTTGTGCGTTTTAATTTCTAACATCAGGGAATATGTTTTCTAAAAATATAGCATTGTTTTACTGGCACGGTCATTTCTCTCTTTCTTTTTTTCCGCTCACTCATGCATTTTTTTCTCCCATGCTGCCTTTGAAGCAACCCTGGCATTACTGTATCACCTCACGTTTCCAGATGAACATCGTTCCCTCTCATTGTGATGAAACGACAGAAACAGTTTAGCTGTGGCATTAACACTGTACATTATTTGTCAGATTGGCTTCATTTTCATACTTATTTTGTAAATATTTCATGTTGTATGGAACTTGGATTAAAATGTAAATATGTCTCCTGTATTTGTAATAATTATAATCCATTCGCTGTATAGCCTAGACGTGTAATGCATATATCTTAATTCTGTGTATGGTAATCTTGCACCATTGACCTGTTTAGTGAATGAGGTAAAAAAATAAAATTACAACCAGTGCATTAGACAGAGGGCAGATCTCTTTTTGTGTCGTTCTTTCTCCTTACTCGACACTTGCGTTATGTTTATGATGCATTATATAATGTTAGTGTTTAAAGGTTTAATTGGTGACTTTGCCTATTTATTATTTTTTTTTTACTTTTCTAAATTGATATTGCTAGTAACTGTCAGATTTTTTTTATTTATGTATATGGAAATACTGGACAGTTAATTAGGTACACCTTACTAGACCCCCTTTTGCCTGCAGAACTGCCTTAATCCTCTGTGGCATCGATTCAACCATATTGACATGATGGCATCACATAGTTGCTGCAGATCTGTTTGCTGCACATCCATAATGCTAATCTCCCGTTTTACCACATCACAAAGATACTGTATTGGATTGAGATTTGGTGACTGTGGAGGCCATTTCAGCACAGTAAACTCATTGTCCTGTTCAAGAAACCAGCCTGAGATTATTCGTGCTTTATGACATGGTGCATTATCCTTCTGGAAGTAGCCATCAGAAGATGGGTACACTGTGGTCATAAAGGGATGGATATGGTCAGCAACAATACTCAGGCTGTGGCGTTGACAGGATGCTCAATCTTGTGCCAAGAATATATCCCCCACATCATTACACCACCACCACCAGCCAGAACCGTTGATACAAGTCAGGATGGATCCATGCTTTCATATTGCTGATTCCTAATTTTGACCCTATCATCCAAATGTCGCTGCTGCTATAGCCTATCCGCCTCAACAAGGTTCAATGTGTTGCGCATTCAGAGATGCTCTTCTGTATAATTGGTTCTAACAAATGGTTATTTGAATTACTGTTGCCTTTCTATAAACTGGAACCACTCTGGCCATTCTCCTCTGACCTCCTGTGCCCACAGATCTGCCGCTCACTGGACATTTTCTCTTTTCTGGACCATTCTCTGTAAACCCGAGAGATGGTTGCGCGTGAAAATCCCACTAGATCAGCAGTTTCTGAAATACCCAGTCCAGCCCGTCTGACACAAACAAACATGCTATATGCTATGTTCAAAGTTACTTAAATCCCCATTCTTCCTCATTCTGGTGCTCACTATGAAGTGCAGCAGATCGTCTTGACCATGTCTACATGCCTAAATGCGTTGAGTGGCTGACGTGATTGGCTGATCAGAAATTTGCGTCGAGCAGTTGGACAGGTGTACCTAATAAAGTGGCCGGTGAGTGTAAATAAATGAAACATCATATTTGGGTGTTTATATCTAATTAAATGTGTTTGTAGTGAAAGATATGACCTTCAGACCTTACTAAAGTACAACTAGCCTAATATTAAAATTGTACTCAACCCATAACTTACCTAATAAATCTAATCGACTGTCGTTATCTATTCATGTAGTAATCCGTTTAATAATTAATTATTTTGATGAAACTTAATATATGTTACACATTATCACAGTGAAGCAATCCTTCTTTCAAAAGCAAACCAATGTCCCAATTCACCTCATGGAAAGTCTAATTCCTCGTTTACTATGCTGCCAAACACTCCTCTCGTACAGACAGCTACTGTCAAAGCACAGTGGGCGGGGCACATACGGGGGGTGGAACAGGAGCTTACAGCAAATGACCGGACTCCAATCTCTGCTCAGAGAGCCTCCGCCTATCACAGCCGGAGATAGGGATGACGCCACGAGCACACTCATCCGTCAGGCGTGTTCATTGGGAGCTGGTGCAGTGCTGCTCCACAAGGCCGTGAATGAGGAAGTTCAGCAGAGACCGAATAACAGCAGTCAAAACCCTCATCGAAACTCTCATTTTTGAACGGAACCAAACTTCAACAATGGCTCAGTAAGTATGAATTTTGCGTCTGAGATGCTGAGTAGTGAAATGTCCAACTTCTTTATCACCTTTGACTTTGTATATTCAACTTAAATGCAATGTAATCTGCTTATTGCACGTAATCAGCATTGACTGTCTCTATTCTGAACTGTCTACTTAATATCTAGCACCTTTTCTCTATGCTCGGACACAGATTTAATGTTGAAGTCTCTTTAAAGTCACCCAGCCAGACTGACGTTTGACCTACTCATGATTTCTTGTAATTTGCACTCTGTAATTAAATATAATCAGTGTTCATTCTGTTAATAATGTCTCCACAGAGCAGATATTGCTCTCATTGGTCTAGCTGTGATGGGTCAGAATCTGATCCTGAACATGAATGACCATGGATTTGTGGTAAGTCACATCAGTGCATTTGCATTTCTCCATGATTTTAACATGTTTAAGATGTTATAACAGTTGTCATTTTTATTTAGGTCTGTGCATTCAACAGAACCGTCTCCAAAGTCCATGACTTCTTAAACAATGAAGCCAAAGGCACTAAGGTGATCGGGGCCGAATCCCTTAAAGACATGGTGTCAAAACTCAAAAAACCTTGCCGCATCATCCTGCTGGTCAAGGCAGGACAGGCTGTTGATGACTTCATCGATAAACTGGTAAATATCACCATGAAATGATAGTCCTAGTTTGTTGTGAGTGACTCAGAAGTTGTCTATATGCTTTATGTTGTAGGTTCCTCTTCTTGAGCCTGGAGACATCATCATTGATGGTGGAAATTCAGAGTACAGAGATACAACGGTGAGTTTGGCCATCTAAAATGAGACCTAAAACAGTTTTCATCATCATGTCGAATCTCAATATTACTGGTCTTCACATATAGAGACGTTGTAAGAGCCTGAAGGAGAAGAATCTTCTGTTTGTGGGTAGTGGAGTAAGTGGAGGAGAAGATGGGGCACGTTACGGACCCTCGCTGATGCCCGGAGGACATAAAGATGCCTGGTGAGGATAAGTGTGTATTAAATGGGGAAAAAAAAAAAAAAAAAAAAATATATATATATATATATATATATATAAATATAAATATGGACTATCTGGACTACCAAGTTTGGCATAATTTATTTGTTTTTGTCAGTAATCTTCTGAAATATTATTTAAACTAAAAATAGTTTAAATTTAATTAATAATGTAATTTTATGCCTGTGACTCAAGGCTGAATTTTAAGCATCGTTACTCGCGACACAATTCAGAAATTATTTGAATATTCAGATTTTGTACTCAAGTAGTACAATCACTACTCCAAACAACTGCACTTTTAATATTTAAATCAGTCTTATGTGGGATTCATTTCATAAATATATAGTTAAAAAAACATCATGTAATTTAAAACGGCTAAAACTTTTTAATACTTTTAAATTAATTGATTATTAAGTGTATTTATGCGTGCACTGCTTGACAGTTTATTTGATTTTGTTTCTTCAGGCCACACTTAAAAGACATTTTTCAGAGCATTGCTGCCAAAGTGGGCACCGGAGAGCCGTGCTGCGACTGGGTTGGAGATGAAGGAGCGGGTCATTTTGTTAAAATGGTCCACAACGGTATTGAATACGGGGACATGCAGCTGATCTGTGAGGCCTATCATCTGATGAAGGACGTGCTTTGTATGAACCATGATGAAATGGCTCAGGTCAGACATCCACTTCCTTCTTCAATTACTGTTCTATTTTTTTTACAAGAACAGTCCATGATGTTGTAAGCCTTGGTTTCCTCCTTCCTCCTTTCTTCTGTATTTTGAAATATACCTCACTCTTTGCTTTCTAATGTGCCGTTTTGGTCTGCTTCCTCTTGAGAGTGAATTCCAGTGTTTTTGTTTTCCTATCAGGTCTTCGAACAGTGGAATAAGACAGAGCTGGACTCCTTCCTCATCGAGATCACAGCCAACATCCTAAAATTCAAGGACGCAGACGGCACTAACCTGCTGCCCAAAATTAGAGACAGCGCCGGGCAGAAGGGCACAGGGAAATGGACGGCTATCTCTGCTCTGGAATACGGCACACCTGTCACACTGATCGGTAAGATAGAGAGTCTTGCGTAATTTCCCAGGTGTGGGTGTGTTTCTGTTATTTAGATAGAGGGTGAGAGTCAGTTGGCCTTATAATAACACCCTGAATGAAGCGCCTCTATAATCAGCTTTACCGTCCACCTCTTCAGCTAATGTTGGCATAGGTGGGATTTTCTGTTCTGTCTTGTGTTGTGGCTTTTGGTGCAGGATTCAACTTCAGGGATGGGCTAATGTGAGACAATTTCTAACTAGGCATGAGCTGGTATAAGATTCTGACGGTATGATAACCTTAAATTAAATAAATATATCCCCATTTCATGCTCTAAAGACTGTTCTTTTTACATGTCTGGGTAAAAAATTACTTTTTTCCCCCCATTGAACACAATATATTTAATTGTAAGAGACGTTTAAAATATTTTAGAACAGAAGCTTCTGATGTTCAGGGTCCTTTTCTGCTGGAAAAGGAAACGAAATGAAATACAATATAAAAAACACGTAAAAAGAATTTCTACCACTGCTCATATGTTCTGGTTTTATCCCAAGCTAGAATAGTTTAGGAAAGGGATTTTTGAAACATACGAACAGATATATAGCATTCCAATTGACCCAGATCCATTGATGGGCATTTTTGGTGTCGTGTCTGGGAATATAGATCTTAGTAAAGATATACATTTGATTATTGCATTCACTACACTGTAAGACGTTTAATATTATTCAAGTGGAAAAGAGTAGACCCTCCAACACACACTTTCTAGATAAATGAAGTGATGTCTTCTATTCAATTGGAAGATTAAATGCATGATTCGAGGCTTTAAATGCAAGTTCATAGACAATGGTCCCCCTTTATAAACTACTCTGAAGAACTCCCTGGCCTTTAAAAAAAAAATTCTTTATAATGACTTCTTTATTTATGTTTTCTATGTTATTTTTATTTTGTACTTTTTGAATGTCACCCAGCCCTGTATGTCAAATGATAACATATTGACTAAAAAAATATGACCTAATGTATTCCCTCACTGTTAACATTGATAAATCTGGCAGATTTTGTGATTCAAGAGGATATGACCTGGGTTGTTTTGTATTAAGATGCACCTCTTTTGTATATTCCTTCTGTTAGATGTTGCCAAGCCTCTTATGTGAAATGATAACATATGAACTGTACAAATATAGTACACTCTGTTTTCTCACTGTCAACTCAAAGTCAGGAACGATATACATTTTATTTTTATGTTGTTTTTCTTTCAATGCCATGGTTGTGGTAGGGTAGGGATAATGTGGTGTTTTAAATGGTAAATGCAAAAACTCAAATAAAAAAACAGCTTTCATATACTGTAGGAATGATATAACCAAACATTTTAGCAGTTTTAAAGGGCACACAGGTTACCCCTTTTTATATATTTATTATAAGTCTTTTGTGTCCCCAGTGTCTTTTGTGTCTGTAAAGTTTCAGCTCAAAACACCCATCAGAGTATTTATTATAGCTGTTTGAAATGTCTGTATTATAGCTGGGAAAAGCTTGTTGATGTTTTTTTTTTTTGCACTGGGCCTTTAAGGCGAGACATCCCTGCCCACCGTTCCCACTTGCCTGTCAGCAACATGCCTTAATCGTCGCCCACGGCTGCCTCACGAAGCAGATCTCATGTAACGTTTGTGAGAAATACTGCAGTAAGAACTTTACCAATTAGTATTTGATGCATTTATTGTGGAGTTGCAACAATGAGTTCACCCAAACACATAGCACAGACACACACACACATAGCGCACACACATAGCACAGTTACACACACACATACATAGCGTAGACAGTCAGACACACAGACATACAGAGAATGACCGTGAGAGAGACACAAGGCTGTGCTGATGAAGTTAATCTGAAGTGAATGGCTGTACTTCATTACACACGTGCACACGTTTTAAAACATGTTAAACTTGTACAACTCACTCTTGATCACGTCTGATGATGATGGATGATCCTAGCAAACTGAACAGATCTTTTATTCCCGGTTGCTTTGCGCTCATCCTGTCTTGTCGATATGAGTATTTGCGTTACTACGGAGACATGTTAATGCGCGCAGCTGTCAATCAGTATTGGTGGGCGGGGGGACTGCACTCCTACGTAAAGTTGCAGTCGATCTGAAAACCACTCCAATTGGTCCACCGTTTTTATGTTGTTAAATTAAAAAAAAAAAAAAAAAAGGACTGGGTGTGTTTATTTCACCCCAATATGACAGTATATACACTACTTACACACATGTATGTCCAAACAGCTAAAAAAGTAGATTTTTCACCTTAGGTGCCTTTTAAAACCTTGATTTTCCCCAAAATAAGGTAAACCTTGAAAGCAGGCATTATCCCTTGCCTATTTCTAATCAATGATGTGTTGCCACTGAAAAATGTGAAATCTTTTCATATTTTCAGACTTGGGCATTTGGTTTTAGGTTGTGTACATTTTTGTTGAAAGGTCTCAGAATAATGCTATTTAACAATGTAATTGTGGTAGTGTAGATGAGACATTTGTGTGAATGATTTGTGACCATCTCTTCATATTTATTATCTATTTTATAACATTTTTGGTGCATATTAAAGGGAATAACACTTTAAAATAGGTAATTTTGGCAGAGAATTTTGTGCATCATTTTTCAGTTTGCAGGCGCAGCTTGTAAAACAGTAAAAAATTAAATAAATAAAGTGAAAATTGCAGAATTTAATTAGAAAAATTATTTTGGTCATATGTTAAAAAACATTTTTAAAATCCATTATGAATAAAGAAACGCTGGCCTGGACCAATAGATGAAAAATATTGTGATTTGAGTTTTGTGATTAGATTAAGTTTTTTTGTAAACTTTTATAAAAATATGTTCCCTCAAGATTGAGCAATACATGTCAGCAATGATGCATTTGTTTTGAATAAAGCAGTATTTAAACTGTAATGTGAAAAGTGCTATACAAATAAACTTGATCTGACTTGACTTGTTTTAAGATTATTGACTGCTTTTTGTATATTAGAATAAAATAAAAATAACATTTAAGGACATTTGCTCTCTTAAAAATAAAAATGATTAAAGATTAGATTTATAAATCAGAAACATTGGCCAGGGCACAAAAAAAAAAAAAAAAAAAACATATTCAGTTTTTTTTTTTTTAATTTGTGGTGAATTAAGGTTTTGAAAACTTAGCAGTGTTTTTTTTTTAGTTTTTTTTTTTTTTTTTTTAACAATTGGTCACAATCAAAAACCAGTTGTGCTACAGTTCTCAATGTGATGCATGCTTTTATAAAGCAGTTTTTACAATCTATGCTTTGTTAAATATGCAATCTAAATAAACTTGACCTGGCTTGACATGTATTTGTCAGATCAGGACATGGGCTTGTTTAGTGTCAGTAAAATAGTTGTTTGTGCAGCGCTGAAGCGTGAGAGAACAGATGTGATTTGTGTGGTTCTAGAGGAGGCTTTCCGTCTTTCAAAAGGCTGCATTCCAGTGCTGAGTTCACCATGACTGGCTGCTTTACGCTAGATATTTGTTCCCTTCCTCCTCTCCTCTTCCCTCACTTGTTGGCCTTGGGTTGGGTGATAATATAATACCAAGTCATGCTGAGTTCAGGTTTTTGTGTTTGTGAATGTGGTAAGCTACTGTTCTCACAAATGTCTGGTCGGTTACACTGCTGAGAGTTACATTAGCAGTGTCAACAGTACCAGATATAAAGTGAATCATACTTTGACTTGTTGAAGCACCGTGGATAATGGCCTATAATAGTTAAACTGTTTTATTAAAGACAGAAGTGAAGATGACGAAGTATTGTCTTTACAAGTGTTGTTTTTCATATTACAATACTTGATTGATTTGATGGGAAGAAAAATTCTTTGTCATAATGCAAAACAGTTAAAGTAAACATTTTTTTGTTGACTTTTAAAAATGCAGAGATACTAAACTAGATACTAAAGTGTGCTTTTATATAGATATATGACTACATAATAATAATAATAATAATAATTATTATTATTATTATTATTATAACTATTTTACTACTATGGAATTATAATTGTATATTGATATTAATAAAGCTAATATAATTATGCATTGTTTTACTTTATTAATAACTGTTGTAAAAAATAATTGTTGTTGTTATTAATACTGCTTTAATACTTCATGCTGTTCTTCATATTGTAATTCATGAAGATAACATAATTATCTATTTGTTGTACTTTTTTAATGACTGTTGTAAATAATTTGTTGTTATTATTAATAATAATAATGGCACATTCTTTTTCATGTTATCAATAATAATAATGCTTTAATACTTCATGCTTATTATTATTATTAGTAGTAGTAGTAGTAGTAGTAGTAGTAGTAGTAGTATTAATGAAGATAATATAATTATGCATTGTTGTGCTCTATTAGTAGTTGTTGTAAATCATCTGTAGTTTTTGTTATTATTATTATTATTATTATTATTATTATTATTATTATTAAAATAATTATATATTTTTCATGTTAATTATAATAATAGAAATAATAATGCTTTAATAATTCACACAGTTTATTTTTTTCCACTTTATTGTCCCCAATGGGGAAATATGTCTTGGACTTTAGGCCCACAATTTCATACACTGAACAGAAAGAGACATCTAAAAACACAAATCAACACAAACAATTCAATCATTAACAAGTATGACAGATTTAAAAGTCTAATTGGTGTAGGTAGAAAAAGATTTCCTTAAATTTCCTTTTATATCTGCACACAGATATAATTTAAATTTTTAATAGCTTAGTCCTGAACTGATTGCTCCTTTTTCCCTATGATTGTCATGGCTTCACTAGCGCTCCAAGCTGAGCTTCAGATTGAACTGTAATGTTTTCATACCACACAGTAAATCTTTAGCGTATGATGCATTCAATCACTGCATTGTAAGATAAAAGACATTATTTTTACTTATTTGCTTTTGTTATTTCTTCTTCTTATTCTTATTAATATTCTTAATATTCTTATTTTGATAAATTTATTGTTGGACACAGTAGCAAAAGGAGAATCTAGGATAATTTAGCAGTCATCCAAAGTATTTTTGCTTGTGTTCTATTGAATAGATTTTTTATTTTTGTTAAATTGAGGTGGGTTTTTTGCGGGGAAAAATTGAACATTTCCTTACGATTCTAATCTCTGAGATGGTCTAATGGTGATTCTAATCTCATTATGCATGCAGAGCTTCGGTCTGTGTAACTGGAGATGATTGTTTGTGTGTGTGTCACAGGGGAAGCTGTCTTTGCCAGATGCCTCTCGTCTCTGAAGGATGAAAGAGTTCAGGCCAGTAAGAGCCTCAGCGGCCCTCAGGGTGTCAAGTTCACTGGAAACAAAGCACAGTTCCTTGAAGACATTAGAAAGGTGGGGTCAAATTAAATGTAGATAATTATAACATGCATAATGTGTTTGTATTTTAATTTGATTGTACATTTGTTAATGTTAAACGCTATACATATTATAAAAATAATAATACCAATAACAATAATGGTTGTATTAAAGGTTTACTGGAGGGTTGTTTTTACTCTATGAATATAATTAGTTTTATTTCTATTTCAGGCCTTGTATGCCTCTAAGATCATTTCGTATGCTCAAGGCTTCATGCTGCTGCGTCAGGCTGCGCTGGAGTTCGGCTGGTCTCTGAATTATGGTGCTATTGCTCTGATGTGGAGAGGAGGCTGCATCATCCGCAGGTAAATCCATCATTTATTTAAACAAAAACATTCCAAAAGATATACAGTCAAAGTCAGATTTAACGTCAGATTTATTAGCATTCCTGTTCAGTTTTCTTTAAAATCCCGAGTGCTGTTTAACAGAGAAAATGCTTTTCTCAACTGATTTCTAAACATCATAGTTTAAACAACTAATTTCTTTTGTCTTTGCCATGATGAAAATAATTAGTATTTAATTACACTTTTAAATAACTGCACACTAGGAGTCATTTATTAAGCATTAGCAAATAGTTAATTCATTGTTTTATTAAGAATTAATGTTACGTACAGTAGTAATGTACATAATGTTAATAGACATAGTACATAATGTTAATAGATATTAGTAGGCTGTTTATAAATGCAGCTACAAATGTAGTGTTCTTGAATTATAAGCACTTTTATGTACTTAATGTTGGTATTTTCATACTTTAATGATCGTTATATAATGAGTGTTACCCATAATATTTTAGTAGATATTATGCATGATGGTGGTTCACTCCACTGTGGCGACCCCTGATTAATAAAGAACTAAGCCGAAAAGAAAATGAATGATTGTAAGATACAAGTATTCGGCTTAAAGTGCAATGTAAAGCCTTAACTAGGTTATTATGTTTATTAGGTTGGATTAATTAGGCAAGTCATTGGACAACAGTTGTTTGTTCTGTAGGCAGTCAAAAATAACAATTTCTTTAGGGGGCTAATATTATTGACCTTAAAAATTGCTTTAAAAAGTTAACTTTTATTCCATGCTAAATAAAATAAATAAAAAGACTCCAGAAGAAAACATATTATAGGAAATACTGCTCCGTTTAAACACCACTTGATAAATATTTAAAAAATAATACAAATTTCATTCATTCATTCTCTTGTCGGCTTAGTCTCTTTATTAATCCGGGGTCACCACAGCGGAATGAACCGCCAACTTATCCAGCAAGTTTTTACGCAGCGGATGCCCTTCCAGCCGCAACCCATCTCTGGAAAAATACAAATTTTATAGAGCTAAAAAGTTTGCCTTCAGCTGTATGCTCATTTCAGATTAATGGTCAGGATGGAAAGCCATATTTCTCTTCTGAAATCATGTGAAACTTCATCTTTTCTCCACCCAGTAAATGTTGTAACTCTATGAAGTGGTCATAATGTTTCATGTAAAAAATCCCACATGCACAGAATGAGGAAACGGTTTGGCTCTATGCTTTCATATTACTTGGGTAAGATATGAATAATGGTCCTGAATCTTTCCTTTGGCAGTGTTTTCTTGGGAAAGATCAAGGAAGCGTTTGACCGGAACCCAGAGCTGCAGAGTTTGTTGCTGGACAGCTTCTTCAGTAAGGCTGTACAGGATTGTCAGGTACAGGAAATGAGCCAAGAGTGACCACAAATTGCTCAGTTTCCTCTAATTGTGACACTACATGACTGTTTACATGCGGTTACATGAAAGTATATGCCTCTTAAAGTTTGTCCAATGGGCTATATGCAAGTGTTTTTCAGCCACCGATAATCTTCTGGTTAAAGTGTGTGTTTTTGATTGTGACCATTTGAAATTTCGCAAGGTTTCTTTTAGAGCACTGATGTAACTTAATTATAACATAATTTGTAATCGACTTAAGCATTCATCTAGTTGTTAAAGTGTTTAAACAAGATGACAGGTTTAAACGCAAGTGCCGTAGAGCAGCAGGCAAGCGCAGACACACCATTGAAAACACTGTGGTAAAACAATTGTCCATATTTTAAAGATAATGCAAGGAACTTCATTTAATACAGTGCTTCTGGTCCAGTCGGAGTCTCCCTTTATATCATATCTCAATCAGGCAGTGATGTTCAATCATTTCAAAGAAACCAGATCAACAGATAAACATGGCTATTTTATAATGCCATGACAGTTCAACATATGTTTATTTATTTATTTTATATAAATAAAATTTTATTAAAAAAAAAAAAAATACATACACCGATTTAAAGAGAACCACAGGTCAGCAGGGAGACTGCAAAAGACCAGCTTCTGCTTTAAGCTGAACTGACTGAATATCTACTATTAAATCTATTCAAAGATATACAGACGGTTGAGTTTGCAGCTGGATATTATTGGGAGATCGCTGACAGGACCAGTGAGCAGCTCCGCCAGAGCATCTGAAGCTCACATGCAAGTTTATTTTACACTCTATGGCAGAACCCCCACTGAGCCTCGCTAGATCCTCCTGCATGGGCGCGTGTCTGTTATAAAACACTCACAGGACATTATTTTGGATAACTATGCAGATATATTAAATAGTTAACACAAAAATACAGAAAGAGAGACTTTCACTTCACGCATAACGTTATTTTTGAAAAAACAGACCTAGATGTAGTTGCAGACGCGATCAGGAGGCTGTTTTTGCACTGAGCGAACAGGAGAGTGCATCATTTTGATATAGCATATTAATAATGGAATCCAAAAATTATACTATAATATTGAGAGTTAATTTTAGGCTATCTCACGGCCCACCTGCAGGATAGCTGCGGCCCACCGGTTGAGAATCCCTGTTATAGAGCAGTTCACGAATCATTCATTCAAATGATTTGTTTTGGTTGAATTATTTACACATTTTACAGTTTTGCAGAAAATATCACAGCCAAATACAAACTGTTTTTTGAGTTTGTGTTTTACACCTTGAAGAAGAATATTGTGTTTCACCAGTAAAATTATTTACTGGCTGGTATATCCTGCTAATAATTTAATGTAAATTTTACTTGACAGTTTTTGTAGGTATGAGGCTTAATAGACATAGAATGTTCTTTATTGAGCACATAGACATGTCAGTAAATTTGGTTGTGCTTTGTGCAGGACTCGTGGCGTAGGGTTGTGAGTACAGGTGTGCAGCAGGGAATCCCCATGCCCAGTTTCACCACCGCACTGTCCTTCTATGACGGTTACAGACACGAGATGCTCCCAGCAAACCTGCTGCAGGTAAACCTCTAACAACCCATAAACTGCAAGAAAAGGTGTTCAGCCAAAAATGGGAAAACTTTTTATGCGTCCTGCCTGTTTACTTTACTGAGAACACATGAATCTGTAAACGGGTTACAAAGTGGAACTTTTCTTTTTGATTCTCTGCTCGAGCCCAGACTTGACCCAATCCGACCCAACCCCTGGGCGTGGTCGGGCCAATATTTCCTGCCACTATCTTTAGGCCAGGCCGGCCATGATCAAGAATTTGTGTTTTATGTTTGTTTACTCATAACTAGGCCCACACGGAATCTGCGCGCACAGAATTCCGCAGATTTTAAACCCATTATTGATTCTGTTTATTTACTTGAGTAAATGTGTAAATCTGAATTTATTCAGTTTTTATTCAGTAGTTATTACTTTTTATTTAATATATTAAGGTGTAAGTTATGATACTCCGCTGGATACTCCCAAAATAATTCCGCAGAAATCCGCAGATTTTTACTAAAATTCTCCGCAGAAATAGCAAAAAACGTCCGCAGATTCCGTCTGGCCCTGCTCATAGCTTAATTAGCCTAATTAGGTAAAAAGCTATACCACAATTAAAAATATTCTATGAATATTTTAGCAAAGTCGGTTTAAGCAACACATGTGTGGGTCTACAAACTTCCACAATTCGCAGTCATGCGCAGCAATGCTCTAGCTCCTGCAACAGCATCTCCTCTACTGGCACACATTCACACTGCACTTCAGCAGAGCTGAAGCAGCGCGTATGTAGAGCAGAAACAGTGCATAAACATCAGTGGATTTTACCGATGCATTTATTGGGTAAAATGGCTACTATATACTGTCATTGCATGTGTTTTTGGTCATTACCAATGCACTGTCACTTTAAAAGCATCAAAAACAGATCCAGCACCAAAATGATTGCGCACCGCTACTTCAACACCACTTATGCTCAGCACTGATGCACTTCTTCTGTGTGCGGTATGAAAGCTCTAATCTGGTAACATGGACGCCGAAAAAACAGGTGCTGCTCGCCCGTGCGATGTGAAAGAGGTAATGGCAAACACCGGAGACTTCCATGCTGAACAGACACATGAAGCAGGCATGCCATGGCAGAAAGGATGTTTTTAGAATTATATTTAAGAACGTCTTTATAACTTATTAAAAATAGTCTGGTTTGAATCTGGCTCATTAGTACAGTTAATGTGTCGGACCGGGTCAGGCTCAGACACAAGGTGCACAGGCTCGGGTTTGGTTTTTTTTTTTTTTTTTTTTGGGTTCAATCTAAGCTCTAGTGTAAACAACCGAAAACAAAAGTCTATGAAAACAAACAATAAAGTCATGTGCTTGTATGATATGTGTTTATGGGAGCCTAGATTAAAGCAAGACACAACAATGATAGTTTTGTTGTTGCTTAAGTCTTTGCTAACAATCCATCGGCAAAGTGTGGCTTTACTTTAAATTACAACCAAAAGCAGAGACACAACTTGCATGCAAAATATAAATGCACACCATCTCTTACTAAAATAACCATATTATCATCAGAAAAATTGGATCCAGACGTTATATTATTGGAAAAATAAGGTGTTATGGGGCACTACTTTCCAAGAATTCAGCAGCCCTGTGAATCATTTCTGTTGATTTTATTTTAATCTCTCTTCTCCTCTTAAACAGCTGTTTTAGCCATTTCTCTCTCTACATTAGCTAACCTCACCTCAAACTTTGCGTCACTCTTTAGGCACAGAGAGACTACTTTGGTGCGCACACGTATGAGCTGCTATCAAACCCTGGGACTTTCATCCACACTAACTGGACAGGACACGGTGGGAAAGTGTCATCTTCATCCTATAATGCCTAAAATCAAGAAGCCACCATTGGTAAAACAGCAGACAACATCCCCTCTTGATGAAGGACCAGAGCAGCTGATCACATTCCTGCAGAAGAGCTGGAGTTCTTACTGAATGAGTGTTCAAACACACATTTCTATTTATACTAGATCATAGTATACACACTATTTGTACACTTTCGTTCTTGTAGTTTTAAGGTGCACTGTTGCAAACACACTATCTTCGAGTGTGTGAGATTTTTCCTGCTGTAAACCAGTCATACTTTGCCCCCAGAGTTCACAGCGTTAACCCTGGATTACGGGTGACTATTGCACTGCATTAGGCTAAATAAAGATTTCAATCCCTTTTTAATTAGCTTTTGTCTTCTTCACTCACACACCGTTTACAGCGAACTGGATTCACCCTGCTATTTTTAACAGTAAACGCTGGATATATAACTTGTTTTTGTGTGTACTTCTAATGAGTCGCCAACAGAGGGCAGAAACTCTTTGTTGTGCACTTGTTTACATTACTGTCATTTGCAGATGACTGATTATCTTTTCGAGTATGAAACCATATTAACTCGTATACACAGGATCTACATATTATTTGCTTGCTAACAGTCAGTTGACATTAATATTTCACAAATATGTAACTAAACATTTGTTTAATATTTAACCCTTGTTATTGTTGTATATTTTATCTTGACATATTTAGTATCATGTGAAATTGGATTGATGCCATCTCAAGGAACAATCATTTGTGAATTTTATTTTTAAACAGCAAGGCCAAAATATATATATATATATATAATTTCCCCCCCCCCAATTTCTGTTTAACGTAAAGATTTCTCTCACATTTCTAAACATAATAGTTTTAATAAGTCATCTCTAGTAACTGATTTATTTTATCTTTGTCATGACAACAGGAAATAATATTTACTAGATAGTTTTCAAGACACTTCTATACAGCTTAAAGTGACATTTAAAGGCTTAACTAGGTAAATTAGTTTAACCAGGAAGTTAGGGTAATTAGGCAAGTTATTGTATAATGATGTTTTTTTCTGTAGACTACTAAAAATATCTTAAAGGGGCTAATAATTTTGACCTTAAAATAATTTAAAAAAATTGTAAACTGCTTTTATTCTAGCCGAAATAAACCAAATAAGACTTTCTCCTGAAGACAAAAATATCAGACATACTGTGAAATTGTCCTTGCTCTGTTAAACATTCATTCATTCATTTTCTTTTTCGGCTTAGTCTCTTTATTAATCCGGGTACCCCACAGCGGAATGAACCGCCAACTTATCTGGCATGTTTTTACGCAGAGGATGCCCTTTCAGCCGCAACCCATCTCTGGGAAACATCCATACACACTCATTCACACTCATGTACTACGGACAATTTAGCCTACCCAATTCACCTGTACCACATGCCTGAGCACCCGGAGGAAATCCACGCGAACGCAGGGAGAACATGCAAACTCCACACAGAAACGCCAACTTACCCAGCCGAGGTTTAAACCAGTGACCTTCTTGCTGTGAGGCGACAGCACTACTTACTGTGCCACTGCGTCGCCCTCGTCGAAAACTAATTATTCTGAATTCAAATAATAATTCAGGGGGAAGTGGGTGTTGCGGATGAAAGTGAAGAGAGTTGGGGAGTCACAAAAGAAAGTGGGGTGGGGCGAGGCGGGGAGGGGGGGGGGGGGTGCGTGTGAGAAGAGGTATCAGTAAAACGATGTGCCGGATCCAGCTTGTTCCAGCACAAATTAAGCCCTGGCTATAGGTGAATTGGTCCCACTTTATATTAAGTGGCCTTAACTAATAAGTACTTACACAGGAATTAATAGTTTGTTGCAATGTACTTATTGTGTAAATATATGTATTTACTGTGTACTTATGCTCGATTAAATACATGTATGTAATTACATCTGTAATTAACTTTTGTAATTACATTTGGAAATACACTGTTGACCATCTCTTACACCTTAACCCACCCTTAAACCTACCCATGCCACCAAACCTGTCCATAACCCAACCTCTATCCTAACTCAAAAGCACCACACGTGTTCTCAAATACATTATAAACACAGTAAGTACATTGTATTTATTTTTTGATGTAAGTACATAGTAGTTAAGGACACTTAATATAAAGTGGGACCGATGAATTTAATAACCTAAATTGGCCCTAGTGTATGGGTGTTTCCGGGCATCTGCTGTATAAAACATATACTGGATAAGTTGGCAGTTCATACCACTGACCTGCAAAAAATAACCTGCAAAAAATTATGTGTCGACCTGCAAAAAATAAAAAGACTAAGCCAAAGGAAAATGAATGAATGTATATTGCTAAATATTTATTTCTTTATTTTATTATGACCTATTTAGTATCATGTGAATTTGGATTGATGCTATCTCAAGAAAAAAAAGTATTGATTTTTAAACAGTAAAGCGTGTGTGTGTGTGTGTGTGTGTGTGTGTGTGTGTGTGTGTGTGTGTGTGTGTGTGTGTGTGTGTGTGTGTGTGTGTGTGTGTGTGTGTGTGTGTGTGTGTGTGTGTGTGTGTGTGTGTGTGTGTGTGTGTGTGTGTGTTTTAATAAACCAGAAATTATACCATTTTGAATAATATTCAATAATAAGTTAATTAATAACTCTGTAATTATTCTATATGTAAATAATAACTCAGTAATAATAACATTATTCAGAAGTGTTTTACTTTTGTTTTAGAGATTAAAAAAAATATGCCAACATTAATGCATGAAGACATTTCCAGTTTTAAAATGATTTAAGATGTTGTGGCCATTTTAATTTAGTTTTGAAGAGATTAAAAAATAGTTTCAATTATGTTTGATTTTATATAGATTTAATAGGTTTTCATCACATAGTTTTGATGACACTGTATTGTGCTGGTAGCCATTTATAATCAAATACTTTGTTTCACATGTAACTGTTTGATAGTAAAAACATATTTACTACTCTGCTTTCTGCTGTGTAAGATATGTGTACTGTTAAACCAAGCAATAAACTGTAAATAGGTAGTAATAAAAGAAAAATAGAATTTCCTCCTGGATATTTCACACTGCACTGATATCCTTAATTCACCTTCGACCTCTTTAAAGATCCAAGAGCTAAACAAAGCAGCAGGTGCCTAACATATATGTGTGACTAAAGATGTCACTCCTACGTTTAAGGTATAGTTCAACCAAAATGCAAATGTACTCACTATTTACTCACTTTCATCTAGTTATAAACCTTGATGAGTTTCTTTCTTGTGTTGAACACAAAAAAGATATTTTGAAGAATGTTAAAGACCTGTAACCATTGACCTCCATTGTAATGCAAGGCAGGTTTATTTATATAGCACATTTTATACACAATGGTAATTCAAAGTGCTTTACATAAACAAGAATAAATGAAACGAGTATGAGAAAATAGCAAATGATAACCGATTTAAAAACTGATTAAAATGTGTTAAAACAGGCTATAAAAGAATGGAAAAGAAAAGAAAGACATAATAGTGTGATATGTCAGACGTAGCACAGTGCTCATTCAGTAAAGGCACAGCTAAACAGATGTTTTTTAAGTCTTGTGTTGAATGTGTCTAATATTGGAGCACATCTGATTATTTGTTAATAAAATGTGAATAAACCTTTATCCACGGAATTCTAGTAGTTAAAAAAAAAATTAAATGGTTACTGTTTTCCAACTTTCGTCAAAATATCTTTTATTTTTTTGTGAATATTATGTCATCCTTTTTCAGTCGAAAAGAAGATATTTTGAAGAATGTTAAAAAACCTGTAGGTAAAACAAACACTATGAAAGTCAATGGTTACAGGTTTCCAACTTCCAAATATCTTCTTTTGTGTTTTAACAGACGAAAGACACTCATGAAGGCTGGAAACAAGTAAAGGCTGAGAAAACAACGAGATATTCATTTTACTGTGAACTTAAAACAAATACTATGAAATTTAGTGGTTACAGGTTTCCAACTTTCTTCAAAATATCTTCTTTTGGTGGATTGTTCACACAAATATGAATATTATGTCATGATTTTCTCAGCCAAAAAGAAGATATTTTCAAGAATTTTAAAAACCTGTAACCACTGACTTCTAGTAGATAAAAAATGACTATGGAAGTTAATGGTTACAGGTTTCCAACTTTCTACAAAATCTCTTCTTTTTTGTGGATAGTTCACCCTAAATGAATATTATGTCATTATTTTCTTAGCCGAAAAAAATATATATTTTGAAGAATGTTAAAACCCTATAACCACTGACTTCTAGAAAATAAAAAAATACTATGGAAGTCAATGGTTACAGGTTTCCATCTTTCTTCAAAATATCTTTTTCTTGTGGATAGTTCACCCAAAACAAACAGTCATAATTTTCTAAGCCAAAATTAAGATATTTTGAAGAATGTTAAAAACCTGTAACCACTGACTTCTAGTAGATTTTAAAAAATACCATGGAAGTCAGGGGTTACAGGTTTCCAACTTTCTTCAAAATATCTTCTTGTGTTTTTGTGGATATTTCACCAAAAATGAATATTATGTCATCATTTACTCAGCCAAAAAGAAGATATTTTGAAGAATGTTAAAAAAAAACATAACCATTGACTTCCAGTAGGTAAAACAAACACTATGAAAGTCAATGGTTACAGGTTTCCAACTTTCTTCCAAATATCTTCTTTCGTGTTTTAACAGAAGAAATACACTCTTAAAGGCTTGAAACAAGTAAAGGTTTGTAAATGCTCCAGCCGTCGAGAGAGTCGGTGAAATGCGCTAAACGTATTAATATATTGTTTGAAAGAGCTCCAGAGCTGAGTGCCAGTCTCAGGCGAATGATGCTGACTCATTGTGGCGATTCAGCGCATAGAAAGCCAGACGGGAAGTGAACACCCTCTTTTGACCCATCTGCCAATTAATTATGCATCGACTGGGGAGGAGTCAGACTACAGATGAGGTCTCACAAAAACAAGAGATGCTGCAGTCTGAACCGACAAATCCCACAGACCAACACTTCATTTAAGAGCTGATGTATGTATATAATCAAGCATGTTTTGTCTTTATGCATGTTTGTGGTTGTGTTAAGGTGACTTCAAGGTGTCTTTTAGAGCAGGCGGGCATTGCTTTTGTTAAAATCATATAAATAACTCTTCAAAAGAAGTATGAAATCAATGGGTGTATTTGCTTTGGCTACTTTTAGTATTACACAAGTACCTATTTTAAAAATGTGCATGCAATAAGAATGCCTACTAATTTGCCCTCTTAGTCACCTAATGAGGGAACATCCTAATGGCATTCCTTTACCGTACTGCGTCAATTTGTTTTGTGCAGGTACAGTACCTCTCTCAAACATGACAATGGGAGTTAAATGGGACAATCGTGATGTTTTCCACAGAAGCATGTTCCTCATGCGGGTACTGCTGAGTCTGTTTCCTCTGGTCTTTGTGATCTGGAATGGCGAGGCGTTACCTATACAAGATAAACAATCACAAACCAATGAGGTGAGATTCTTATTTAAAGAATTTCAAAGAGAAATCAAATGCATGCTGGTTAGTATTTGTTAGGTTCTTTGTTTTGTTGGCTAAAAATAACTGTACTGCAGTCTTTTAATACTGGTACTGCTGTAAAAAATCAATAACTGTGATCCAATGCCCAAGTCCACAGAAATGTATATTATCTTCTAGATACTGTCCAAGGAAGAGGATGGGTTGAAGATGATAACATATGTGGCAGAGCTGAACCTCACCAGTAAAGAACTGGCTGATCTTGACGCTGAATTGTTGAATGGCAAACTGTGGGAGAAGTCTGATAAACCTTCTAAAGATAAGTCTCCGTGCAAGCTCTTCTTCTGGAAGACCTTCTCCTCGTGTTGAGTCTGGGAAAATGACAGAGCACATGCTGATGAGTGTTTAAATCTACTGTCCTGCCTTTAAAGTTTGCCAATCTAATCATGTATTGTATTGAAATCAAGAGAATGTATCCCTTTGGCTTCTGCTGGAATATAGTTTTTTTATATACTTTTAACAGAATGATTTATACTGAATGAAACCTCTTTTTGAGTTATCTCCAAATAATACAATGGCCTTTAGCATGCCCCTTTGTACTGTTTGACATCCTGTTTGAAACATGTAATAAAAGTAATAAATCTCTTCATGTCATCTTTATAGCTTAAAAATGAGTTCATAACTTCAAAATCACTAATAACATCGACATGCCACATTAATATACCATAGCATTGACCAACCGTCATTGTGAAGGGTGGTCAGAGTAGGCCTATTACGTGCAGTTTGGCCACCACCTAATGGTAAAGTAAGGGAACTTCTTTTTGATGGATGTGGCCTGTTTGTATAGTATAGTACAGGGGTTCCCAAACTTTTCAGCCCGCGACCCCTAAAATGAGAATGCCAGTGACTCGTGACCCCCAATATTCTCTCAGGTGGTGGTTATAAATACAGAAACCTTGTATGCAATGACGCGCACACACACACCAATAGACCCAAGTCTATTCTTTGTTTTTTTTATGTATGTCAGTGCTGTAAATGGGCTAGAAAGTTTAACCTGGTGTTACAAAATCTGCTGCATCTAACAGTATTGCTGTGTCTTTAGTATAATGTAATTACCCGAGAAGTCGCAATCCAATAGAACTAGTAACTATAAGCTACCGTAGTAACTATATAGTTTATAGTAACTATAAACGACTATTTTTTCTCATCAGTAGGTTATTGATCAAATACAGTAAGTCTTAAGGTTTAATAAAAATTAATTGATTTTTGAAAATCACCAGGCGACCCCCCTTCATTGTCCCGCGACCCCTCGGGGGGTCCCGACCCCCACTTTGAGAACCTCTGGTATAGTATATAGTATTATAGTATAGTAGTATTTGTTTTACCTACTATGGAAGTCAATGGTCAAAGTTTTTTAACATTCTTCAAAATATCATTTTTTGACTGAGAAAATTATGAGATTACATTCATTTTGGGTGAACTATAGTAATCCACTTGCAATTGCAAACTGACTAACAAAGAAATCATCTACTTACTAGGTATTTTTACATGCATATAAAAAAGAAACCAGCACATGCTGTGGTGGCTAGGGGTGTTCGGTTGCAGGGTTTTTTTGGAGTCGACTCCAATTCTTGACTCCTAATTTTGGAGTGGGTGGAATCGACTCCAGAATGGACTCCAAATTAGGATTAACATATATTGCATTTTATACAATTCTATTGTGTCAGTTGCAGCTTTACATTGTGCAGTTCTCCTCTGGCCAGACAAAACCAGCAGTTTATTTCGGCTGCAGTCAAAAATAAAATGGTTATTAACCTACACTTTTTTTACAGCACATTTTAATTGTCCAATTTAGATATTTTAGAAAATTGCATTGCAATCTTGGAGACAGAAAGCTAAAACATCAATGTGTTATCAAAATATTGAACGAAAAGAAGTGTAGCTGTTAATCAACATAGACAAAACACCCCAATTGAGCCTACAAACAACGTTTGAGTCATAAAATAGCCTATTTAATGTAAATTAATGAATAAATTACCTATATAAAGGTAAAACAAACAGAGCTCCCCATAGAGAACCAGTCAGCTGTATATTTACTACAGATATGGTTAGATGGTCACTATGGTGGTTTTCTAACAATAAGAAGACTGCATTTTAATTCTAAGATTAAAATGTAGTATTATTAGATGATGAAATTATTTGTAACATTATTGATTAGGATAAAAGGTTTACAGATATTAAATTAAAACCACCCTGTAGGTGATAGGATCACACTATCTAAAGGTCTTAATTCATTCAAATGGAGAAACTGAAATAAACATTTATGGATTAGTAAATAATAAATATGAGGAAATGTAATAAAGAATTTTACTTATGCTGGAACATTCACATAAGAAATAATATACATTTATATTAATAGCAGGATCAAAGTAAAAGAAACTCAATTATTGAGGAAATTAACCAAATAAATAAGTGAAAAGGTTGCAAACATATCATTTTATTTCTTATCATATATCATCTCATCTCCTATTCTTGATAACGTAAACAATCACTTTTAAACACAGAAAGCAGTTCAGTATTGAAAGAGAAACATTTGGACACATCTCCAGTACTTTAACAGACTTAAATCACAATGTGGAATGTTAATGTTTTCAGTTGTAAATTTTACACAGAAGTCTCTATCACGAAAACTTAAAATACACTGCGTTACCGATAGAGGAATGTAAAGTGACGTCATTGTGAAAAGGGTATGTCCTTCTACATACAATAGAAATCAGAACATCAAAATGTTTCTGTTTTATGTTGTTTATAATTGTTTAAATCGGCCAAAATAAAAAATGCCAAACAGCTTAGTTCAAGAAACTAATGTAATGTAATGTAACTGCAACGTACCATGTAACTGCAGCAATAAATTGTTTTTGCACTACTTACCTCCAAAATCGCTTTTTGGACTGAGTCTGGACACATCTGAATCCACAAATCACACCAGAGGATTGAAACCCATCCATAAAGCAGCTTACAAAAGGTATGTTTGTTTGTGTTTTTGATCAACATGATCGGTGATGCTAACTAACCTGCAGCCCGGCTTGAGTGGAGAAAAGTTTAGCCCGTAAAAACATTAGCTTCGTATTTAAATAGAATTGTTTAGCATAAACAAGAAACTGCTACTCTACAGTTTGTTTAGACTGTTTTAAAGAGTTTTCGTGATGCATTTGGACATTAAAAATCGTCATCCAGACAGTGATGGTGGAGGGAATGTTGAATTAAACATTAACTGTACCGGATTAGTGATGTTGTATTGAGGTAAAGTTGGTTTTATTTTGCGCATTCATTCAATTTTGGACAATGACAATTTGTAACACTATATGATTATTGCCAAAAACTGTAGTATAGAATGTAAAAGGGACTTTGCTATTGCTTACCGCTCCATTGAATATTGGGTCTGAAATCACATGTGTAACTTCAGCACAGCACTATATACTGGACTGTAAACAATGTTGTACTTTGAAAGTCATTGGCTAATAATGTGATTTCCCTATTTAGAATTTGCAATCAATACTTTTCTTAAACTATATTATTAAGCAGAAAGTCTGAATGTGTGAAAATAAAATAAAAAAACTTTTCCCCAATTGATGTTGTGGTGATGTTGTGGGTCACCTTGATGGATTTTTTTTTTTACTCTAAGATAATGTTGAATCTCTGACATGTCCATTAGGTCATTCTGCACTGATCCAGAGTCTGTGTTTACTGAGATATATTCACATTTTATCAAAACCTTTAGAATTCATGTTGTCATTTTGATTTTGATTAATATTGTAATACTGTGTTGTTTGTCCGCTTTCAATTTTAGTTCATTGACTTAAAGGAAACACAATTTATTGGAAGTAATAAACACTGGTTCTTCATGTAAATTTGGAATTCAGTTTAATGGATTTTCCTTTTTCATTTTCATTTAGCTGATCTTTTAGTTTTTCCTTATTGGTTTTGTCAAATTTATTAATGCATACAGCTTTTGAGGTGTTTGTAATGTTTGTTTCTTTTATTTTGGTGAATGAAAACTAATTGATTTACTTTTTATATTTTCTTTTTCAAATGTGTTTGCCTTTTATATAGTTTTTTAGATTGTAGTAATTATATTGTGTTTTTATCATTTTTATTAGATGTGTTAAATAATATTTCAGTCAGATTCAATTTGTTTTGCAGAAGCACTTTTTTAGTTTTCGGATTCTTTCAAATTTATTATTCTTTTTTGTATTTTCCATTTTACATGCTTTAGCCTCAAAACATGCTTCAAAGAATTAGTTTTTATGCCACGATTATCCTTTCTGTGTAAACACCAAAGAAATGTGAAATAATAGGTATTTAGACATACACAGTACTAGGGCTGCATAATATGTTACAGCATCAATATCGCAATGTGATTTTTTGCAAAAGTCACATCACAGGATATGCAATGTTATGCCTTGATGACAGTTTTTCATTTGTGATTTTGAGGCCTGTGAGTGTATAATTATTTTAAAACATTTAAGCATAAGAAATTATACTGAATTGTATTGAATTGTTTTTATTATTGAATTACTGTACCTGAATACTCTTAGACTCAGAAAACGATAAACCAATATTTCAATTGTATGTTTTTTTGTTTGTTTTTTCATTTCATTGTATTGATCTATGCTTGTAGATAGTTTATTATATTATATGCAGATGCACTTCTCCACAGAATCATCCCATTTCGTCTAAAACTATTAGTTCTTTTCAAATAGAACTATTTTTTTTTCAAATTCATGTCATCTGTAGAATAATGTTTTGTTCATGAATATTCCTTGAAGAATAATAGCATTGCGATGTTCAATTTTTCCTATATCATGCAGCTCTACACAGTACATTTGGATTAACTTTTATTATATAACAGCCAACAGTGGAGACACATAGTGCATACTGCAAATTTAAAATACACATTAGCTTGATGACATGTCTAATGTTGGATTCACACCAAATGCCTAGCAGCATGTCACTCTGTCTAGTTTACTCACTGGATTATTTTCACCTTAAATGTGTTTTTTGGTCAAGTTGAATCATTTAAACTTGTGTGGTAGATTCCCTCTATGCTAGGTTCCCACCATTACATGCTGTCATGGCATTGCAGTCAAAAAGTGTGGTTATAGTGAGAAGTCAATGTGGCAAAAACCTAACAAAACCTGATGAAAAGCAGGTCAACTTGAACAGTGCACAAGGGTTAAAGGGACAGTTCACCCCAAAATGAAAATACAGTCAGTTTACTCATTCTCCGCTTGTTACAAACTTGTTTAAGTTTTTTTATTATGTTGAGCACAGAAGTAGTTCAGTTCATTTATGGTGAGCTCTGTAAGATGGCTTGATGTTGATGGATTTGTGTTTTTTTTTTTAACAGGCGTGTGTATGTGTGTGTGCGTGTGTGTGTGTGTGTGTGTTTGTTTTTAGTGGGTGATGTTTTACCCTTATGATGCAGCTCTGAAGCGGCTGACACAAGATGATATCATGCTAAACTTTAAAGCGGTGATGCAGGGTTCGGAGATGCTGCGAGAGGAACACTTAACTTCTCAACATCATCCTGGACTGCAGGCAACCAGCTGAAGTGCTGGAGAAATTCAGACTGTTGCCTGGAG